CTGAAACCATGGTTCCTTACTATGCCTAGTACAGTGCATAGCACAGAAGTACAATAAAATAGTTATCAGTGATGCCTCACTGATTTACCCAACCTGAAAGGAGACAAGAGTGAAATACAACGACATGTATCGGCAGCAACTCCTGGAAGAAACCAAATCAACAGAAATATGATTTCTTTTCTCAAGGAGGAAAACCAAGCTGCCTGAGTGTAGTCTCAAAAGCAGCTCACCCTGAATCAAGAGATTAAAGCTTCACTGTTGTCAAAGTCACCACCTTGACAAATGAGCTTTCAATGACAAGAAATAGAACTAGACATCCCAAACAGTTTGCTCAGTTTAGAATTCAAAGAAGTTGGACACTTATTTCCTGCTGTGTTTCTTCCCTTACTTATCTGCTCTTCAACAACAGAAAGCAGATGAAGTCCATTTAAGGGTTTGTGTAAAACAATTAGTAACCAATATTGAGAAATCAACCAGGGTTTATGGTCCTATCAATTTATTCTCTATGATACATGAATATGTTCAGCATTTATTCTCTTGACAAGGGCATTCGCGCATAGTAGGCTTTCAAAAAAGACATTTTAAATGAGAGGAAAAGCATTGAGTTTATAGAATAAATAAAGTGAATGTGAAATCCTTAGACTTGATTCAGGCATCTATGACAACATGAGATTGTATACAAGGTAGCACACACATTTGAGTGTGTGTGTGTGTGTGTGTGTGTGTGTGTGTGTGTGTGTGTGTGTCTGTGTGTGTGTGTGTTCCTGGAAGAGGGCCTAGAGGTTGAGAAAGAGTCATACCAGTATCAGTTATACAAAATAGAAAAGGTACACAGATTCCAGCTGTGCAGCAGTGTGACCCTCAACTGTCCATTGCATTTGATTCACCAGGACACTGTATCCCTACATTCTTTGTTGATTCACAAGTCCTCCAACATTTATTTTCAGACAAGCAGAACCCTGACCTATGTGGAATAAAAAGGGGCATGCTGTGAGTGTGATAAAACACTGTCATATAAAGGATTCTCCAAAGAATTTGAAAGACTCTGAATGCCTGGGAGTTTGGAAATCATGCTGCCCTGCGGAGCGTGCACTTGCTAGCAACCAGACACATCTTTTAATTTGGGGATAGAACAAAACATCAAGGCATCTTTATTTCCATCCACTGTTGAGAGATATAAGAAAGTGACTGAGTTGAGTATGAAAGCTTGTGGAGTGTGAGTGTATGACCTAAAAATTCTGAGGAGACTCACAGAGTTGACTTGGAGATAAGATGATAAGGTACTTGGATTCAACTCAACCAATGATTGCTGGTAAATAATATATTATGGCAATGACAAAAATAACTTACAGCTATAACTCACGTTGTAATCAAAGCACTTTTTAAACTTTTATTTTATTTATTTGAGAAGCAGAAGACAGAGAAAAAGACATACCGAGAGCACCTATCTATGTACCTGCTCACTCCCCAAGTGCCTGCCAAGAGCCAGAAGGAAGCCAGAGCTAGAAATTAGATCCAGAGACTCCTTGTGAGTAGCAGGGACCTAACTACTTGAGCGATCATTGGCTGCTGCGCACTGTGCAAGTCAGAAAGGTGGAGCAGGGAGCACAACTACAACCTGAACCTTGACAATCCAATAAGAGTTGCAGGCACTACAACCAATGTTTCAGTTGCTACTCCAAATGCCCACCCCTCAAAGAACTTTTCACAAGGGCAGGCCAAGATGGCACAGGGACTGTTCCTTTATAGATTGAGCCATGGAAGCTCACAGAGGTTAAAATCTCATCTTCATCATAAAGTTATTGAGGAGGGAAGCTAGGGCATATTCATATATCTCTCACTTCTCAAGATTTGTGTTCTTTGTGCAATGTTACTTTGGATCACAGAATAAATGCTGGACCTTTATCTTTCCTGATTTCTGGATGTGTTAATAAGTTGTTATTCATTGAAATCCTAAAAAGAAAAAAAAAATCCAAGTACCAAGGAAACCCAATCCATTTCTACCCCCCACTGTTGTGGAATCCACATGTTGGCAGATGGGCTAAGCTGGCACATAGGAAACTTTCAGGAAAGAAGCAAAATAAGAAACGTGGTCTTGAGGTTCTTTGAAGCTATTTTAAAAAGTAAAATGTTATGTTAAGAGTTATGTGGTGTATCTCTGTGTGGGTGTAATTATTATTCCATTGATTTATTGCACACATGTCAAAGAGTATCTGGGCATTTTTACAAGTTAAATCAAACCAACCAAAAAGCCAAGCCACACAGCCGCAAACCCAGACAACTTGCCTCCCACCCCAGCCTCACCCTTCAAGCTACCATCTCCCTAAAACAAACTGTCTAGGAGGAGTAATCTTCCTTACGGTGATGCATTGTTAAGTCAACGACACATGTCATTTAAACCATGTTATAAGAGTAGCCTCAGCCAGTGGACGGTACATATATTCCAGAAAAATCCAGCAAGACTCCTGCCATTCTAGAGTGTCCTCTTCTATTTGGGCAAGAGCTTTCTTTCCAGAATGACTCAGGAGCCAAACCGCAAGGCAGGATCATATAGAATCTCATCTGAGGATGAGCATCATATTCTTCCTAAGAATATAACTCAGGTCTTCCATTATAGGACATAATGGAACCTATCTGATCCCCTGAATATTCACCCACTAAGCCACTACACATTAGGCAGATGCACTCTCATTCCCTTCTATTCCTCTCAGGGGGCAGGGAAGTCACTTTCCAGTGTTCTACCCCTGCTGCCAAAATCACTTTGCCTGTGATCCGACAATTAGAGCTCATTTCATCCTAAACTGTTTCCTCTAGGAGATGGACATTATTAAGTAACTTTGTCTTCTGTTTCCATATCCCAAGAGATCTTAAAAGAAGAAAAAAGGCAAGAGAAAATTGCTCGGATGTCTCCAGCTGATAACATCATTAATCTCGCCCTCTCAACGTGCAAGCGGAAGCCTCAGCAATCACCTTACTTTCTCTGCACATGGGGACCTTTTTTTTCCTACTTCAAAGCATCACGTCTTTATTGGGTCATTTGGATGACTGAATGTGGGACGGAAGCCATCTGCATAATGTCGTCACTGGTTTTTTTTCATGAAATATGTACAGATGTAATTTGGATTACACGATTTGTGAGAGGCAAAATACAGGATGGGCAAAAAGAAAAGAGAAATCTGTGTGTAAGGTGAAGAGAGGAAAGGTCTTTGTAAGCTAGTGTTGTCGATTCCTTCCTTCCAGGGAGGAAGCCAGGGGAAACTCGGCGGCCTTCTGGGGCAAGCAGGTTGTTTTTCCTACTCAAGTTACCCCCACCAGCAACACAGCAACACAACTGCACAGTCATCAGTCATTATAATAATATAGAAAAATACCGCTCGATTTTAATTGATTTTAACTGAAGTCACCGCCTGTACTTCACTGACAATGACTAACGGTTACACCGTTAACACCTTTAGAGACGCGCTGATGCTTACGCATGTGAGACACAAGCACCTTCTCACTGAAGGCGCATATTTTTCTTCTCAATTACATCCATTACATCATACTCAAAATGGAAACATATACAACTGAAAACCGTGGGTTTTTTAATATGAAGTGCCCACATCGAGGCCAAGGCAATCATTATGGCTTGTTACGATCCATTAGCTATTAGCCAAGGGTCAAGTGCCCGGCAGCTGATACAGCTCTGTGCGAAAACCAACACAATTCCAAATCTGCATCCTTTCTCCTCTGACACTCTTCTGTAACTTGACTGAAGACTTACTCAGTGGCCCCATTACTGCCACAGCAAACCCAAACCTCTCCTCTGGCCCTAAAACATAGCCATGCAAAGACATGATTCCTGGAGACCCAGAGAGTACAGGTTAGCTTGGCTGGCCTTCTCCCAAAGTGAGTTTGAAAGATGTAGCCTCAACGCAAAAACCAGGGAGATTTGCCATAACCTCTTTTGCTGTCTTACTGTCCATGACAATCATTTTATTTGCATAGTAACTATGTGTTTTCAATTTCTTTTCAGACCCAAGGAGGTAATCCTATGAGGAGAAAGCTTCAAAATCGAAAAGTATCAGATGACAAAACCTGAGAAGGTTTGTGGGAAATTGAGTAAAAAGATAACTTTATTTGAGTGAAACAGACTTCAAAAAGGATGGGTTTCTTTCAGTGATGTATATTTCCATAAACTTTATGAAACATCTCATACGTTTGTTATATTTCTAAATATGAACAAGAAATAAATCAATGCTTCCTTTAAGAAACTTGTACAATGTCAATGTCCTTCATTGATAAAAAGAATATTTAAATCACAAGGAGCTCCTTAATAAGAAAGAGACCCTGAAACTGCATGTGCCAGGAAGGCAACGTGTGCAGGCAATGTACCTCAAAGCAGGGTAGGATGATGTTCTAATTATTTTATGACTTGATAAAATGAAATATTTCCAGATTCAAATTCTGATCTGGGGTTCTCAAATCCAAAATGTTGGGCCAAGTGCAGTAGCCTAGTGGCTAAAGTCCTCGCCTTGCATGCACTGGTGATAATCCCAGCTACCCCGCTTCTCAGCCAGCTCCCTGCTTGTGGCCTGGGAAAGCAGTCGAGGACGGCCCAAAGCCTTGGGACCCTGCACCTGTGTGGGAGACCCAGAAGAGGCTCTGGACTCCTGGCTTCAGATCAGTGCAGGTCCAACCATTGCAGCCACTTGGGGAGTGAATCAACAGATGAAAGATCTTCCTCTCTTTCTCTCCTCCTCTCTGTATATCTGACTTAACAAAAATAAATAAAACTTTTTTTTTTAATCCAAAAAGTTCAAAAAAGGGAATAAAAAAATCCTTCCAAGTTGAAGCAAAATCTTTGGGCGACACAATCTGACATGAATTGAGAGTTTTACAACATATGATGCATACAATCGATCTGGTTTGAATAAGAGGTCCTAGAGGCAAAGCTACTCCAAGAGAATATTTTCTATTAACTCCCGCTCTGTGTGGCCAATGCCAACACGGTGCCTTACCTCGGTTTGCAGAATGGCAGCCCTCTGTTCTTTGGCAGTAAGCGACTCTTTAAGCACTTCAATGTGTTGCTTGCAATCTGAATTTTGATTGCTAAGGGTTTCAAGCTTTGTTTGTAAGGCAAGAAGTTCCGACTCCTTCTTTGAAAGTTCCTGCTTCAGTTGATCAATCTGTGAGACAACACAATTGCAAGAAATTAGAAACCACACCTCCTAGCTTTTCTATTTCAGTACTACAAAATCAACCTAATCTTCGAGAATCAGAGATCAGGGATCCAACAGGATGGACGACAAATATACTCAAAAAGCAAATAGCCAAGACAAGCATTGTGGCACAGTAAGTTAAGCCTGCCAGGTCTGCATCCCTTATCTTCATTGCTAATGCCAACTGCTGCTCAACTGGTCCTGCTTCCTCCTGATGCACTTGGGAAAGCAGAAGATAAACCCAATGCTTGGGCCCCTGCCACCTACGCAGAAGACCCAGAGGGAGTCCTAACCTCCTGCTTTCAAGCCTGGCTTTCGCACCATTGCTGCCATGTGGGAAGTGAAGCAATGGATGGAAGGACACTTTCTGAATCTCTTTGTTTGATCATCTGCTTTTCAAAGAAATTCAAACTTTAAAAATCTTTTTTTAGAAGAGAAAATAGGGATCACACCATCCTAGAGGTCTGCAGGAAGTTGTGGAAAGGTCACTGAGAGTACAGCAAGTGGACACACTAAGGTCACCATGTTGCTTTTCATCCTACCAGCAATAAGGACCAACCCACACAATAGCCAGGGCTGTTCAAGCATAGTCCTTACTCAGCAGGGCCAACAGGGAGCAAGCAAAGGCATTCATGGGTGTCCTAACTGTATAGTCAAAACGATTTTCAGGGCATTACTTAAAGAGCTAATCCTCAAAGAAGTAAGTAAGGCAATTTGCTTATGTTAAATATTGACAGGGGAGAAAAGAACATAAAATACACATGAGGTATAAGGAAATTCAATACAAGAAATGCACATCGTTCAATTCAACAATGAAGAGCAGTAGAATCACCTGTGTCCTGGCCTATTTCCAGCTCCTCTCCTCCCTCTGTGGAAATCATCAACAACCCAAATTGTGTGTCTCTCATTCCCTTGCTTGTCTTTCAGGCTTATCATATATTTTTGCATCTGTAAATAATTTGCTATTTGGTTTTGCATAATTTAAACTACACTTGCACTCTGTGGTTTAGCACTTCACTTTTTCTTTTCGACTCAATTTGTTATCCTAGGGATTACATTATGCTATTGTACATGGAACTCATCCATTTTCACTGAAGTATTCCACTGTAACATTTCATCACCATTTACTTGTCCAATTTACTGTTGATAGGCATTTGAGTTTGGTCTTAATTCCTAAGTTCTTTTGCTATTATAAACAGAACTATTCTGAATATTCTTGTACATCACTCAGTGCAGATAGCAGGGATTTTCCTGAATCCCTCTCTACAGTTAAACTGCTGGACCACATACCACGCACATACTCACCAGACAAAATCAAAATCTTCTCCAAAGCAGTTATGTTCATTTGCACAGTCAGAAGCAGCTTGTAAACTGTATGCTGACTATTCTGCATCAACCCCAAAATTGTATACCACCAGCGGTTTTCATTTTTGTCAGTGTGCGATGAGTTACAGCAGAGACATTTTCCATTAATTCCTTACTACTAGTACACAAATGTTACTTCAAACCACTAGAGGAGTGGTCCATTTACCCTTCTCGTGAACTTGGGCTGAACTGCAGTAGGTCCAAACCAACTGAATACAGCAGAAGAATCAGGAACCTGTTCTACCCGCAGCCTGTTTGGAGAGCTGGCAGCTTCTGCCTCCTGCCCCCCCCCCCAGTGCCACCAGTCCCAAGTTGGAAGTCCTATCATCCAGGGCCTGCCATACTGTGAGGGAACCTATGCCATCCATGTATAAAGGCCATCTGGAAGGACACAGAGGCCCTAGGGGTAATTGCTATCCTTTCGTCTTGTTCCAGCTCTGATACACAGGGTTTCAATGTCTCATCATTAAATCTGATATTTGCTTTAGCTTTTAGATTTACCTTTTATTACAACTGTGCTGAGAGTGTTTTTAATCATTAATGAATGCTTAATATTATCAAACATTTTTATACATATCATGATTTATTTTTCCCCTTCAATGTTACTGTATTGAATAACATTAGTGGAATTTTTTAAAAATATGTATTTTATTTTTATTAGGAAGTCATATATACAGAGAGGAGGAGAGCGAGAGAGGAAGGAAGATCTTCTGTCCACTGATTCACTCCCCTAGCGGCCACAATGGCCAGAGCTGTGCTGATCTGAAACCAGTCTCCCACACCGGTACAGGGTCCCAAGGCTTTGGGTCATCTGCTACTGCTTTCCCAGGCCACAAGCAGGGAGCTGATGGGAAGTGGAGCTGCCGGGATTAGCACCATTGCCCATATGGGATCCTAGCACTTGCAAGATGAGAACTTTAGCCACTAGTCTACCATGCCAGGCCCAATAACGAAATTATTAACATTAGACTCTTTGCATTGCTTTGAAAAGCCTCACACAACCTTGTAATCCTGTTCTTATATTATTGGATTCAAGTGGATATTATTTTGCCAACATGTTTCATGTATCCCTATGAGTAAGGCTTGTTTATAACTTTTCACAGCTTGTGCTATATTTATTGACTTTTAGTATCAATTTAGTCTTATCAATGAAGTAGTGAGTGTCCTTATAATGTTCAAAAATGCTTTGTATAAAATTGGAATATTTTCCCATTTTTGCTCATTGGAAATCACCATAAAGAACAAAGAACATCATTCATTATATCCATTTTGACATTCATATTAATATTTTTGATTAGTTGAAGCAATTCTGTAACTTTAACTCCTAATTAATCCTTCCACATAGATTTTCAATTTGCAGATACTTTTTTTTATTAATAGCATCTATGATAATATCTTTTTTCCTTTCTAATACTTTTCATTTAATCTCTCTTTATAAAAAAAGATTTTATTTTTTATTTGAAGAGCAATAGGAGGAAGAGAAGGCTGGAGAAAGCAAGAATGAGAGAGAAGAACAATGAGAAAACATCTTTCATCTGCTGGTTTGCAACAGCCAGGTCTAGGTGGTGTAAACCAAGATTCTGGAACTTCAACTAGATCTCCCACATGAGCAGGAGGGCTCCATGCACTGTGGGTCATCCCTTGCTGCCAGCCTAGGCACACTGGCAGAAACCTGAGTCAGTAGGAGAGCAGCCTAGACAGAAACAATCGTTCTGATACGAGAGCAGCAGCTTAACCTGCTGTGCACAATGCTGTCCCCGCCCCGTCTTTTGTTCTTGGGGAACTTCAACAGAGTCCTATCTAGTTACCTAACTTAATGAAAAAGCTGATTATTGCTGTATTGATCACACAGATTCTTATTTTCTATTTCATTAATTTTTCACTTCCTTCCTTTTACCTTGAGTTTATTCTATTTCCTTCCTTAATGTTTTCATTCCTTAAATAAGGTTTAAGTCTATGATTTTCCCAAAGTACTATTTTACCTTGATGTCACCAACTTCAGATGCAGTACTGACACTATTGTCTAGTCCTAAATACTTTTAGTCTCCATTACTTTTTCTTATTTAATCTACAAGTAACCCATAAGTATATTTCTTAATTTCCAAAATCAAGCATGTTTTCTACTTTTATTTGAGGTTCTCACAGATCACTTTCTTTGTAGATATAGAACATGGTCTGTTTTACAGTAATCATTTGAAATCTGTTGCATCTTGCTTGATGATAAGGCATATGGACAGTTATCATGTACGTTTTTCCAACAACTGTTGAGTGTAACATTGCATAATATGTGTGGTATTAGAGATCATTTTACAACGGGAACTTTTAGTCTTTCATATTTCAATATTTCCATCTGCTTCATCTGATAATTACTTAGAATGTGGTTTAAAATCATGCATTAGATGGTGAAATAATCTGTCTCCTTGCACCTCTGCCAATTTTTTCTTAGCTCTAAAAATAGTTTCTCTGCCTAAAGTCTACATCATCTTCGTATGATTAGTATTTGTGCATTTTGAGACATTCAATGATTTCTGAACCCTAGGCTGGAGATATCTTGTGGAAATAGCATACATCCTCTCATGATTTTATTCCATCTGGAAAAATGAAACAATTTTTTTAAAAAATCATTTAATTATTTAGTTTATTTGTTTTCACTCTCCCCAGTGCAGGTGAGGCCAAAACCAGAATCCAATCTGGGTCTCCCACACGGGTAGCAGGAACCCCATGAGAGGAGCCATCACCTGCTCCCTCCTAGGATCCATGCTAGCAGGAAGCTGACAAGAATAGAATATAACTAAAATCAAAAGGTGGGGGGGATCAGTGTTAGAATGACCTAAAAGGTAAAAAAAAATTAAACCCATTATGATCAGCTCTCTTTTGGGGAGTTATAGCTTCCACACAGCAGTCAAGTGTAGCCAACAGCACAGTGCATAGTTGACTCCACATATGTAACTGATTCATAGAAACTTAAAGCTCAAAAACCTTTCAACTCCATATGCCTAAGCAAAGACGATGTCTTTGGTGAACAAAAGGGGGGAAAAAAAAAACAATTTTATGCTAACTCCCACAAATACCGGAGTAGAGAACTAGCATGGAGGTTGGCGTCCTGAGAGGTTTAAGTGGAATCAACTTGATCAACATAATGGTTTAGTAGGAAAGAAAGGCATGGCAGGTTCTACTGCCACAGGCTTTATTCAATAAAAACAGACTGATAATCACACAACAATTTCAGTCTATAAATAGTTGCTTTAAATAGCATTCATATTATCACTGTCATCAGATTAATTCTGAATACATATGTATGCAGTCAATAACAGAAAAATGCTTTTCTAAGCGGAATACAGTTACAGGGTAGAAAAAAATTATTGTTCCATAAAAAAATATACTTCTTGCTTCTTTGAAAGCAATAAACTCAATAAAAATGGAGAGTGATGCAATCGAACATACATGAGAACTGAGGCTGGGAAGATCTGTCTCTGGGATGGCCAAAAGAAAAGCCCAGCGGAATGACATCACAGGCTTTCTATGAAGTCCATGTGGACATCAGGCACACTTCATTTTGTCTGAAAATCCTTCCCCCACTGACGCCTGTGACACAACCAACACCCTTGAAAACCCACTCTGCCAAGGCAAACAGCTTTTTTTTTTTTTTCACTACAGATACAGCCCTCAAGTCTAGAAACTGATATGCTTATTGTCATGCAGTTTTGGTTATGAGGGTTGTAATCCTTCAGAGGTCCACAGGAAAATGTGTTACAAATTCAGAATAAAGACGGAGATCTAAGACGGCAGCAAGGCGTCTTTGGCAGACCCTGAAAACAGAGTGAGCGGCTGATGTAGAAATACTGGGATCAGTAGATGAAAAATGTGTTAGGTTAAGAACAAAGCCCCGGACAGAAAGGAGATGCCATCATTCTTTCCGCACCAGGAAAACAGCTATTTATATGGCACATTCCGTTCTCCAAGGTTTACCCGTGCTCCTGAAAGGAACTCACTTTCCACGTCCTCTTTGCTTCAGTTCTTACAGTCCGAGTCCTCTAGGCCTTCAGAGTCACAGCAGGACCTGGAGTTGCGCACAGCCAAGTGCTCTGCTGATCGGGAGGCTTCCCAGGGTCTCACGGATCATGTCCGTGTGTTAAAGATGCCAGGATTTCTAATTTGGCTTATTTTGTAGGAGGTCCCTGCTTGCCCACAGGCTGAGATTCTAAGATGCCAAGATTTACATATCTGCAGCCTGTTTTTTTCTTTTCCCAAGCTGGGGAGTCCTGGCTTTTCTATGATGTCCTATGTACAAAGGCCATCTAGACTTTTTCTGCTACTTAACTTCATTACAGAGCTTTCAAGTGCCTCTCCCACCTCCACCTGGTCCCAGATCTGATCATCTCTGGGATCCAAATGGGACTATGTGCCCTTGCACAGGACTACTGAAAATATCTCCTTTCTCTCCAAACCACATGCTCAACACACTTCAACAAGAAATGCAACATTCTTAAGCTTACATAGTGAACCATGCTCACCTCTCAAACTAGGAAAATTTGAAAAAAATAGGCTATGAACAACAAATACAGTGAATTAACGTACTGAAAGATGATTCTTCAATGGAAGCATAGAATAAATTGATTAATTTTTTTAGCTAATGAGCATCAGTCTGTAACAAGAGATCTGGGTGACATTAGAAGTAGTTTTCCTTAAAATGGATTTTAAGGAAATCCATTTTCCTTAATAGGTTAAATATAGCATATTATTACTATTATTATTATATTTGCTTATACTTTTTCAATAAGAATATTTATAGGTCAGACATTCGGTCTGGCAGTGAAAACAACCATATCCCGTTCCCATGTCAGAGTACCTGGTTTCAAAAGCCAGTTCCAACTCCTTGCTCCAGCTTGCTGCTAAGGCACACCGTGGAAGTCAGCAGTGATGCCTCAGCTAACTGAGTTCCCCTGCCACTCAAGTAGCAAACCTGGATTGATTTCCCATCCCTGGCATGGCCCAGTCCTGGCTATTATAGGCATTTGGACAAAGAATCTGTGGATGGGAACTTGATCTGTTTCTTAACCTCCCCAATATAGTTTTTTTAAGAATAAGGTTTAAATTACATGCGATTAGTTTGAGCTAGGTATGTTGGTTACATTATTTCATTGGATCCTCATTTTGTCCATGAGAATCATGGATATAGAGAGTGCTCTGGGGTGAGAAACACTGTCCTAGTCTTACATTAGAGGAGAATTCAATGACTCCCCAGGGGATCACGCAGGTAGGAATGGCAAGGCTAAAGACGTGCCAGAGACTCCTCAGTCTGCGGGCTGAACTCTTTCCACCTCACTCCATGACTTTCTTCATTCTTCTTATCTGTCCCTTTTGGAATTCTTAGAAGTAACTAATCACAAAAAGCGAAATCTCAAGCAAGGATGGATGGTCTCTCAGATCTATGTGGGCTAACAGAGGCCATGACTTGCTTGCTGAAGATCATATAAATGTTTTATTCACCTGGACAGAGTCCATGATACAGGGCAGAGTTTATAAATTTCATGGCATTTTCAGCTGTAGGAGTAGCTTGAACAATCTCTCATTGTTGAGTGCTGGGATGGGGAGGATAAATTTAAGCCAAAACAGTAATTTCCCATCAGCTTCTTGAGTTTGCTTGTATCTGTGCCTATGGCCTTTGCTCTCAGCGAGATTTGGGCACTGTCTCAGGGTCACCTTGTACTGGAATCTCTGCAGCGAACAGAAGGGAGGGCTGAGTAATGAAACCGATTCTGCATTTTTGTGGCACTCCCTAAGAAGCAGTGGTTATGTTCAAGTCCACTGGACATCTTCCTCCTCCTCCCTCCATTCTTCATCCATGTTTTCAGTCAGAATCACAATGTCTTTTACTTTATAGATGGAAAGTCAGCAAGCATAAGCACAACTTGCTTTTTCCCTTTGAAGAAATATACACACGAGCGCACGCACAGACATACACACGTGGTGCACTAAACGCTGGATATCAACATTTCCTCTCTACAATTTGCAAACTCTGCAAGGACTACACACATATTTCACAACAGATATCACTTAAACATTCGTTCCCCTCCTCCCACTGCCTTCTCGCAGAAGGCTGCATTATGCTAACTCTGCTGCATTTTATAAGGTAACAAAGAAGATTGAAACCTGGTATGAGAGCAGTGACATTTAAGCGCAAGCAGTAGAAAAAAAAAGTTTTAATTTGTGTGCTTGTATATTCAGAAGCAAAATAGTTTCAATGGAATAGAACAAAGCATATCAAATTCTCGGAAGGCCTATTTGTGACTACTTATAAATTAAATAATGTACATGTAAGTACAATATTCAGGTATTTAGCCAAAGTTTGAGTTTTGGAAAATGTGAATCCAATTCTTTAAAACTGTCTATAGGAATACAGATTAATAATTAATGGAACAGGTTACCCAACATTGGAGAATAAACAACCAACAACAATGTTGAAAAGCTCTTGAATGTTTTCTTGAGACCAAATAAGGGATAGAGTACTTTAAAGGTCTGATCTCTTAGAACTGTCAGGGCAACCCATTGAGGCAGGTGCTTTTCTCATTCCTGTTTAGTGAAGCTGAGGCTTAGAATGATTGAATAACCACAGTAATAACAGCATCGAGGCCTGAAATTAGTTAATACCTTGGCCACTCCACCAAAATCAGAATGTCTTAGTGGCATCAATCGACTTGAGTCCTATCAGCTTGTACAGAACGGCAACACTTAAGGAGACAATCTTGTACTAGGGATGGAAACGAGATACGACAATGGTAGTAACTTTATAAAACAACAAATAGATGACAATCTTGGAAGTTTGAAAGAGAGGACAGTAGACAACACCCAAGACAGAGGAAAGACAGAGGAGCTCAGCAGAAAAGCCTGAGCTGGCAGCAAGGAGGAAACCCACCAAAGATTTGCTCAGCTTTCCTTTCAGAATCTACATGTTGGCACTAAAAAGTTTTGCACATTCTTCTTTATATCTCATGATATTACATAAAGCAGATTATGTGGGTTATTTGGGGGTAAAAACATGCATGTAAACCCCAACTTTCTGGTCACACCAAGATTATAAAAGTTTCTAACTCTGGACCATACCTTGGTCTTCATAAACTTGGAGTGGCTTTTGTAAACTTCTATTTGTTTGATCTCTTCCTCACGGTCCTCAGTGTTCAGCACACCACTGGCTTTTAACATCTGGATCTCATCTTCAAGATCCCTTATGTTTCGCTCCAATGAAGCGATTTTTGTGTCCTGTTGATAAAAATGAGAAAAAAAATTGTACATCAACAAAACAGAACTTAAGAAAGCAATTTTTGGTAGTAGTACATTAACTGTGATCTAGACATAAACTAATTAAGAACACCATTTTTTCACTTCCTAGGATCATTTATGAGATTATTGTTTAAATTCCCAAACAAGATCATGCAATGGATATAGTGCAGTTTCTTAGATTTGTTTTTAATACCTAAGACTGAAATTATCAAAAATACAGATAAAAGGCACCTAAAATATCAAAAAAGTAATACAATATATCCTCTAACTAAACATATTTGTAATTTAAAATAAGGTCTAACAATGTATATTTTAAGTCTACTTGTAAACACAAAAAACAATTTTTCATGTGTATATTCTATGGCTGGTTTATAAGGCATGGTTGTTATTTGACTCAGAAAGCGAAATTCATACTTACTAATGGGGAAACACAATCTCATCTAAAATATAGACATAAGTGAAATTAAATAACTGAGCCTGGCCTTACTATGGCTGATACCCTAAATACTGAAAATTTATAACAACTGGAAATAATATATCACAATGTCATGATTTATTTGGCGAGCAGTCAGGTCCCTACGTGACAAAAAACATGACTACGTGGCAGGATATTTCTAACCTACAGATTTACCGGGCCAAAAAAACTAGAAATATTGCACTCAGATGTGGGATGAATTGAGGGGGGAAAAAAAAAACACCAATGACGGGTCAAGACATAAGATTGCACATAATCAAAAAAAATGCAGTAGGAAGTAGAGAAAAAAAAAGAGTTCTTTTAGGAAAACAAAGAAGCAAACAAAATTGAAAAACAGTCCCCCAACCTTGGTACTGAATTCAAATCAGTCTTTAGAACGAAGCAAATGAAAAGTTTGATTTCGAAGTTCTTTCCCACTGTCACCATTTACCTGTAAAGATTCTACGAGCTAATATTATGAACATTAATAAAAAAATAAGCCACGACTTTTTAAGCTCAGTGCCTGAGCTGCTACAGACATATTTTTTAATTCTCCAAGAAAGTAAAATAAAAAGATTCTGAACATTTCAAATTATAATGAAATACAACCTATAGCATTTAATTTGCCTTTAAAGATAATACCTACTGTGGCTTTTGGTTATAACAGTAATATAGTTTAAAATCATATAAAAGAGCATCTCTTCTATTCCCACTTCTCCAGAGATAACCACTATGAATGCTTTGACACACATTAGTGTTCTAGTGTACATCAATGTAGAAAAACCTTGTACACCGCCCATTTGAGTGAGGGCGCTGCTGGGGACTGATTGTGGCTCTCTGAGTTGGCATGAAAAGTACAATTTTCCACAATAGAGTAACTTTTTGATCCCCATTCATGAAAACAATTTTTTTTATGACTGAACACCTTTACATATTATTTATAAATGGTATTTTAAAGCCATTTACACAGTGGTTGTTTCAAACTGACACCTTGATTCTGTTTCACCAATAAACTCTAGGAGTCGGTAATTTTGGCATTCAGTGATTAGAAGGTAAAAGACAATATAAAGTAGTTTGTTGAGACGCTATACTCAGAAACTATTTGGACCCATAAGATCCAACTGTTCTGTGAAGGGTAAAAAAAAAAAAACTTTAAAAGCTTACTGGGGATTCTCTATACACAGATGGATACCTAGCTATGGTAAGTCTCTGCAGCAAAATATTTTATTTAGGTATATTCATCCCAATATTATTATCTCCAAAATGAAACTCTTAAAAAAAAAACTAGGATAGTGTAAACTTATGGGATGCATTACTAAACCAAAGAGTAAGAACTCTTCAAATTACATTACTAAACTGAATTCAAATTCAAAATACACTACTAAACTGAAGAGTTCAGTGATTTGAACTCTTCAAAGAAAAATATGGCATGATTACCTCAATTTAAATAAGTGTGGGGGCCAGCGCCTTTGTCTGAAAGGTTAAACCTTTGTCTGCGGCACTGGCATCCCACAGAGGCACCAGTTTGTGTCCCAGCAGCTTCTCTTCCAATCCAGCCTCCTGCATATGGTCAGGGAAGCCACCAGCAGATTGCTCAATTCCTTGGGCCCCTGCATCCATGTGGGAAACCCAAAAAAAAGTTCCTGGCTTGGGTTGGCCCAGCTCTGGCCACTATGACCATTTGAGGAGTGAACCAGCAGGAGGAAAGCCTCTTCCTATGTCTCTCCTCTCTGTAATTTTGCCTTTCAAATAAAAAGATAAATGGGAGCTTAAAGATCACCTCATTGGCTTCCATCACCTAAAAATGGCTTACATAGAATTGCTTTGACTACAGCAACAATCAAAGTTCACAGGTGAGTCCCCAGAATGTACCACCTCACATGTTAGCTGATAGTTTTCAAATAGTCTTAAGACAGGAAAACCATCCAATGATACTACTGCCATGCTATAGTTTGGCTATGGGCTGCAAAAATATGGAAGAAAACAGCTAAAATATGCTTATTTCACTTTCTATGCATTTGCGGGAGGGGGGCCAGGGACCTGCACTGATTATTTCTTTCAAATCATTTCCTTCCAAACCTTTGCAAAATGGTGTTTGTAAAAATTTTATACATAAATTGTGGATCGCAACTGCTACTTAAAGATTCATAACTGGAACTATTTCTTTTACATTTACCATCCAGATGAAGTTTGGGTGGGCAAGTAATAAATACAACACTAGAACCAAATCCTTAGTAGTCACTAACCCAATGTGCTCACCCACTATTATTTATTTCATTGAAAGACAGTTACAGAGAGAGAAAGAGCTTCCATCGACTGGTTCACTCCCCCAAATGCTTAACTCTGCTCCAGGCCAAAACCAGCAACCAGGAGCTTCTTCTGGGTGCCTCGCACGGATCCAGAGGGCACTTGGGTCATCCTCCATTGTTTTCCCAGGCACATTAGCAGAGTGTTGGGTTGGAAGAAGAGCAGCAGGAGTTCAAATGTACACCCATAAAAGATGCTAGTACCACAGGTGGCACCTGACCCCATTCAGTTGATCTTAAGCCTTACATAAATATTAGCACTATCATATAACCACAGTGATCATACCAACGAGGAAAACATTTGAGTGGGAAATTAAAACAAGCCACATGTTCCTTCTCTCTATTTTTAAATAAATGTCTTAATTTTTCTAGGACAAGTAGGCTATCATTCACAACTTTAGACATAAGGAATTCTCTCGTTCATTTAACAAATATAAAATGTGTACCTGCTAGATATGATACTTTGTCAGAAGCCAGCTGGACCTCAACAAGACTCATGAGCAAGCTTCTACAGTTTTAACATGGATTACAGTCCAGATCCCTGCTATTCAAATGGTGGTTCACAAACTAGTTGCACTGACATTAATTTGAGAGCTTTTTTGCTTTTTAAATATGGATTGTATTTATTTGACAGGGAGAGTCGCAAAGTGAAAGGAAGGTAGAGAAAGAGATTTTCTGCCTGTTGGTTCATTGCCTACATAGCTACAACAGCTGGGTCAGGGTCAAGCCAGGTATCTGGTAGAATTTCTGCTTGGTTCTTCCATATGGGTGGCAGGCATCCAAGCACTTGAGCTATTGTTTGCTGCTTTATTACACACATTAGCATGGAGCTGGATTGGAAGTTAAGTAACCTGGGACCACTTCGGTGATAGTTTAACCTGTAATGCCACAACTCCAACCTCCTGGAGAGATTTCTCAGACATGCACAATTCAAGCTCCAACAGGCATTCCCAAATCTGTGCTGGCATCTTCACAAGTCCTGAGGTGAAGCAAAAGTTCTAAATGACTGCTGATGTCCACAAGAGACAGGGGTCACAAGTCTTGTGTCTGACCAGGGCAGTGGGACCAAGGCAGTTTTACAGGTTAAGTACGTTTAGAAAGACATGCAGCTACTTCCAGGAGCTCTCCGATTTGGCACACGTACACAGCAATCCTGGGAGTAAACTTTCTGGAGCCTCCGTGTCAGGAAGGATGCCACTGTTATTCTTTGTGTTTGTCAAACATTGTGTTCCCCTTAAACTGCAAGAAACAGGTTTCAGTTCCTCTCCAGGAACTCCGAATGCTAAAGTGGTGAGTGGGAGGAACATCCAAAAAAAAAAAAAAGCAATATCATTTAGTCACAAAAAATACCAATTATGCTATTGCTGAGTGTCACAATGTGCTTTCCTTTCAAATACAGTAAGAATTACTGGTTCATTTTAATATCAGGCCAAGAAAGGAAATATAAGCAGTTTTTACAGAGCAGGAACTGTCCATGATCATATATGGGACTATGTGACACAGATCAACACACTTAGGGCCAATTTGGTTTGAAGAAGACATGATCTAATATTCAGTAAGATCCCTGCATAATTATGTTCCACTTTATTTAGAACAAAGCTCTAAGCTATTATTATTGGAGACCACAGAGTCTCTTAAAGGCTTAACTTTGAAAAAAATCATCTAGCTGTATCTACAAACAGCACTTTGACTTAAACTGAGTCATGCCCTGCCTTTGAAAGGATGTACTGTGGAGGGTAAGTGCTGTCCTCAGAGGTCAAGTGAAGCATTCCAGGAAGAAGAACTCTTACACCAAAGACAGACCAGAAAGGAAAATAAATATCAAAATTCTTCTTTATGAAACACCTGCTATGTGTCAGTCATTTTTCTGGGATTTTTACATACTGCACTCATTTCATTCTTGCAGCATTCTCAGGATATAGGATCAGTGACTTTGGGAGTAGACTTTCAGAATTAAACAGCATGGAATAAAATCGGAGGTTATTGTGTTCCCTTTGTGTACCTCATGGAACTGGGGAACAAACAGGAATGGGCCTTGTCATTGCTGACTTATGTTAACAATGACAATGCTTTACTAGGCTGGGGGTGGGGCCGTGACACGTGCTTTGCATGCACCACACCTTACCTGCAAGCTATCAAAAAGGCAATGCCCTGAATAGAAGATGGGGGCAATGCTGTCCGTCAGTGATGTTACTGTTTCTGGACCTGCCTAGTTTGTT